TTGAGTGTAATCCAGATGGAAGGCCTTCATCAAGAAGGGCTTCAATCCTCCCAAGTCTGCTAGAGAGGGTCTCAGCTACCCTCCCCCACCTAAACTTAGCTGATCGATGACTCTGAGCTCGCTGCCTTGCAGCCTGCTCTGGGCCAGTGCTCCCAGCTCAGCACCGTGCTGTTGGGTGGAAACGGCCTCCATGGCTGTGCGGCAGGACCTGCTTCAGCACACATGGCCACTGTGCACGTTCTCCCTTCTGGGGCTCCCTGTTCCTCTGCATTGCTATCAGGATCATGGGGTCCTCTGTGTCTGGTAACTCTTTTAGAGGCACTGCATGAGCTCAGGGTGACCCTGCAGGCCTACGGGCCCCTCTCTGTAAGTTTCTCTAGCAGCACCAGTAACAGAACTTGGGATGAAATCATCATACATGTGGAAAACTAATGTGATTACCCTCTTTACCAATCCTAAGCTCTCCTTCAGGTTTACTATCTCACTTGTAAAGCATTCATGTTTACTATGCTAATAAGATTCTTTGGAGTTAGGTTCAAGAGGATTAGATTAGCTTTGCTAGGACAGTGTGCTTATTAGAGTTGAAGGTTACAGGAAGCAGCTGACGTTCACTGCCTTACCCCAGCCATTCCTTGCTGGCTTCACATCTCTTCTACAAGACATGAAAAGAGAGGCCAACAGCCAGGAGCAAAGCATGTCCCTGGAACCTGAGGTCCCTTATAGACTCCGGGGACCGTGGATGCCAACCCTCATGGAATCTCCAAGGAATGCACACAGATGTTGAAAAGAGACCAGTCCATCCCACTTCAAGACAATCAACCGACAACCTTTCGCATCCATGCCTAAGCTCCTGTCAACTAGCATCTTGCCCAAGATCAAACCAATGTCTCTTTGTGAAGGCAAAGAGAGAGAGAAGGGCTTCAACATGCAAGTCTCCAGCAGGGACTTTTTTGGGTTTTGTTTTTTTTAATCATTTTATTGAGGGCTTTTACAATTCTTATTACAATCCATGCATCAATTGTATCAGGCATATTTGTACATGTGTTGCCATCATTCTTTTCTAGACAATTACTTTCTACTGAGCCTTTGGTATCAGCTCCTTTTTTTCCCTCTCTCCCCACCCACCCTCATGACCCCTTGATAGATTTAAATTATCGTTATTTGCGTCTCTCACACCCACGGCAGGTTTTTAATGTCTTCCTGCCACCTTGAAGGCAGACTCTACTTCAAGGAGGCAGCTTTTCTCCAGTCCTATTTTTAAGTTTCATGAAAAGTTGAATTTTTATTCTAAGTCGTTGAAGCTTTGCAAAGTCGATCACCAGTTTTGCATTTAACAAGCCGCACACATTGTGTTTCGTCTCATTCACCGCGACTCCCATAATGCACCACCATTCGGTCCATTCCTCCTGGGTTTCCCGTGTCCATTCCCCCTTCTTCCCTGACCCCAGTGCACTTTGTCCTTGGAGAAACGCTGCCCTTGGGTCTTAAATGGTTGGTGATTCTAAAGGGGGCCTCCCTCGCTCATGTTATTGCTCCCTTACACGCTTGTCTTTGTTTGGCTGAAAACGGGGTCACAGGGATGAGGTCAGTTCCAGGCCTGAAGGGTGATGAAGGGCTATAGACTTGGGGGCTCATTCGTCTCTATCCAACCAGTTAGCCAGATCTCCTATTATTTTGAGTTTTGGTCCACATTTTTCTCACACGCTACCCCAGGGTCTTCCAATGCCCTTTCAAAGCAGTGGATGGTGGTAGCCATAGAACCCACTCTCCTTTTTATGGTTTCAGAGCTGTGAACCCTGATGATGGTATGGTCCATTCGCCCATTGAACTAATTATTCCCTTATGACTTCAGATTTGCACCGTTTTTCTTTCCTCCGATGTGAAGAGGCGAATGGTCGCTCCTTCGAGGGCTAGTCACAAGGTGCTAAGACCCCAGTCACTACTCACCAGAGTAGGATGTAGAACAGTTCTTTGTGAGCTGTGTCGTGTCAGTTGTCTTTGGTGTTTCCCCCGAGACTGCCGGTCCTGATCCCCCAGGGCCTGCTAGCACGGTGTCCATCCATTTCATTTGTCACGGTCCCTCTACTTTACCTAATATGATGTCTTTCTCTAGGGACTGGTCTTTTCCTGAGAACTTGTCCAAAGGGTATTAGAACTTAAGTTTGGAGCGCTAGGTTTGTGCGATGCTACAGTTTACAGTGAAAGCCCTAAGTCCATTTTTAAGTCTCACCTAGATCCAGTCTCCACTGAATTCTTTCTGCCCATTAATC